TTACAAAAGTGTGGAATGTTTTGAATATATTCGGAATAATAGATTTATTATATATATTCTATTAGGTGATTGCTCTTTGATATATTCAATATTAAGAATTCTAATATACCTACAAATTCTACAATATTAATAATTTATTATTGATAAATATAGATTTAGAAATACATACCAAATAAGAATCTCTAAATAATATATTTTATTAAAAAGAATAAAATAGAATAGAGATATAATTATTATAAAATTAGATATCTTGAAATTAATAGTATTCGAATTATATCAATATATTTTTAAAATATATATCAAATAACTAATATTTCAGCTTAAAAAAAGTATTCTCAATATATATAGATTACTATTAAATAAGCTTTTATTAATACATACAAAATTATTACTTTTAAATATAGAAAAATAATTAATAAAGAAAAGAATTTCAATTACTTACTTGAATCTTATATTATTGATCCTCAAACTCTCAAAATCCTTATAATTCGACTTTTTATTTAATATTCTTTATTACTAAATCTCTTTGAATATAATAAATTTCAAATTCTCCTTATTTATTTCAACAAATAATCGAATATCTAAATCCCCAACTTTTATTATATTATTTTAAAATAAATTATTTGCAATTTTAATAAAAACAAATTTAAAATAAAACAAGAAATATATTCCTTCTATAACAAAATTTATATTATTTATAATACCTAGACTTCCCCTAATAAATATAATGTTTTTAATACTAAAATTTAATTTATTAATAAAATAAATAAATTATAAACTATTAAGAAACGACCACCTGACAGAATATATATAATAGATCTACTATTTCAAATATATTCGAAACATTCTACACTTTTGTAGATTAATAATAAAGTAAATCAATTCTAATATTATATTTCAAATACAAAAATATCTTATTCTGAACTTTTTATTCAATAAATCTAAACGAAAATAATTGTATTTTGAATTCAATCTTAATAATTAGTTCAATTATAATTATAAATATTTCTAATTATTTTTATATTTATAGAAATCTATAGTTATAAAAAACTAACTCCTTTCTAATTAGTATATACTAAATAGATTTATACAAAATAGGAATAAGTATTAGGAAACAATTGTTTAATAGAATATATATAATAAATCTATTGTTCCGAATATATTCAGAATACTCTACACTTTTGTAGGTTAATAGTAAAGTAAATCAATTTTAATAGAATGGAAATATAGATATTGATATAAATAATAGGGGAATTAAAGGATTGAAATTAAAAAGATCATTTTGTAAAAATTTAATAGATTCAATTAAAATAGAAGAATTGCAAGAAGATAGAAATTAATTAGATTGAAAGTTATTTTTATAGAAAATAGGATTAATAGAATTTAGAATATTAGATATATAAATAGAAGATATTTTGAAGGATTGAAAATAAAATAAAATAAAATAATAAAAAGAATAATTATTTAGAGATTTTATTTTATTAAATAATAAAAGATTCAACAAAATCATTATTTTGTTAATTATTTTTAGATTTCTCAAAATAATCAAATTCGTAAAAATAATATTCTGATATCAATATTTATATTCAAAGATATCAAAAGATCAAAATATTCAATAATATTAATAATTCATTATCAATTAATAATAATTCAATTGAATATATAATTTGATATTATTGAAATCTAGGAATAATCTTAAATTCGTATATATCAGCTTATTCTGTATTAATCAGAGATCTATATTTCTATATTTTATTAGTAGTATTCAATATTAGAATAATATTGAATATCTTCAGTAATATCGAATTCCATATTATATATATATATATTTCGAAGAAAAATCAATATATACTACTATTTAGCCTGTATACGGATTACGGGAAATACTATTGCCTACACTGAGTTTATCATCCAACATGATAAGGATACTTGATAAATTTCGCACATGTTAGAGCGCTTAAAAGAAAGCGAGATAGGCGCCCAGTCTGCAATAGTATCAAGATCGACCAAGCTGCCCACGACCGTCAAAATTGACCTTCCTCTATTGTTCGTTCGGTCAATCGATGCATTCAGACTAGTTTGCTACCATGTAAGCTTGATTACAAGATCTCATATCCAGCCCGTCTGGAACTTTATTTTCTTTTATCTCCTGTTTCTGATTGGAGAATTTGCGAATCCTCTGAAGCGAGGACCACTTTTGCTTCAGCCAGCCCTGAGAAAACAAGCGATCGAGTTAGGCTCAATTTGGGTTCTCACGAGTAGCGGGGTCTGTAGGAGGTCATGGGTGCTTTTCATGGGTAGGACCTGACTCGCAAAAATCGCTCGCGGGGTATCTAACCAGACTAGGTAGATTTGTCATTAGAATAGGAGATTTCTGAGTCTTACATTCAGCTCCGGACTAGACGTTTCGAACTACTCTCGAGAGTCGATTTCAAAATTCGAGATATTCTAGATGATGGAAAGCTGCATCTCAAAAAACCAAAGTTCTGTGTGGTATTTTCATTCAAAGAGGAGTAGTCAGTAATATGAGCCAGACAACTTTTCTCCATCTAAATTTTGGTAGAACCTTGTAAAGAAGTGCTTGATTTCTGAGGCTGGAGCGAGTTCCTCAAATTTTCATTTATGGAACTGGATATTTCTAATTGTGCCGTCAAAAGAGATGATCACTTATCCTGGGTGCTGCAGCTCAGCTGTACTCAGAAGATCTTCGTAGATATTGTTTGTCTCATTCGATGCAAACAAAGACCTCATATTGTCCAAACTAGGTTACATTCGAAGAAGCGTTTTATAGCAGAATAAGGAAAGCTCCGTTGTGATTGGTTACTGGTATTGGTTGTTTATGACCTACGGGGTGGAGAAATCTTTATCTCATGGCTTGATCGCTCTAGTGGTATTACTTCGTGTATAGATTACTTCCCCAAAGATAGCATATGAATCTGCAGCGGCTTTCCTATGTGGAGCTAAGGGGCTGAATCTCGCTCCCAAAATCTCATACACATGAAATCTTAGCATTGAAACACATTTTCTGTGTTCATGTGGCGTTATATCATGTATTTCCCTGATAAGGTTGACAAGGCTACTCGAACAAACTGTGGAATAGCGTCATATCATTGGTATATTAAACAGCCATCCGATTCTCTTCTCACAGTCTGTCTCGTATATTATGTTGATACTTTGAAGAATTGTCCAAATTATGATTCCAGCTACATCTCTAATACACTTCCTGGATTCCTATGACTGGAAAGTTCAAAGCAACGACAAAATCTATCAGGACTCACAATCATCACCATCTGTCTCGTTGCCGTCAACACCCAAAAGCCAGAGAGACTTGAAGAGAGTCGCCGAGCCTAAAGACCTTCCTTACATTTCTCCCATTGAATATGTTTACGATCCAGTACCAGAGGCTCTCCACCATCTTACCAACTTGCCGCCCCTCTCTTTTCGACACTACGCTTCAGCGAATTGTGACTATACAACTAGAAATAGCGTACGCGTGAATCCCCGCGCTGCAGGACTTCCGTATCGTTCGAGATTTGAGCTCATCCGCGGAAACAAACACTGGAAAGCAAATCTCGACGAGACCAGGAAGATGCTCAGACTGATCGCTGTGGATAGCTCTAGCACGAGTATGGAAATGAGGAATGGGTTCACGCTGGCCGGGCTTGCTAAGAAAGAGCTGCGTCCGGGGTTGAAACATCGGGTGGTGCTTGCAACATCTTACATGTACCCCAATGCAAATGAGAGACGAGCTAGAATAATCGCCGCAATAATGTTGATGCTTTTTATTTTTGACGGTAAGAGGAACCCCAGATAGATGAATCCAATAAGAGTCTGCAAGCTGATGCCATAGTGTCTGGAAAAAGATAAAATGGAAGAAACGCCGGAAGGAACACCAGTACGTGTTACAAACTAATACTATAAAGCTGGTGCTAATAACGAGAAGCTCACGAACTCGAGAGAGCAATTTCTTGGCCATTTCAGAAGTCCAAATGATGTACTACCATCGGATTCAGTCATCAGTGACTTCCAACGTCACTTGAAGTTTACCGTGAGCGCTATAGCGGATGAAGACGAGATATCAGGTAACGGGGGAAAAGAGATGATCGAGGCATTGCTTGGAGCATTTCGATGCGTTCATCCAAAGGGAAATTTTCATTCGTTGGAAGAATATTTGAGCTTTCGACGCTCAAACGTGGGAGCACAGTAAACCCCCCCCCCCGGTGGAAGATTTCCGAGGCACTGATGTTGATATAGATTTGTCATTGCAGCCGCAAAGTTCACAATCAAGTCTAGTGTAAACGTGCATGACCTCCGATTTGCCAGGTATCTGAGGTTGATTAGTGATCACCTTGGGATCATCAATGACATGGCTTCCTACGAGAAGGAATCTAGAGCCCTAAAGGAGGGTGATACCCAGGACATGATAAATATTGTCGCGGTTTTCCAGAATCTGAAATCACTCTCAACCAGTGCGGAAGCAAAGGTGGCAGCATATACGTATCAATTACAAGTGGAATCATGGATAATAGAAGAAGTTGAGATTTTAGCAGCTAGAGGAGACTTGACAGATGAGGAATGGTGGTTTCTTGAGGCAGTTTTCATGAAAGCAACTGGAAACGTCTTTTTTTGTATGACAAGCTCGCGTTATGGAGGAGATGCTGCCAAGCTGACGTAGTGAAGCCATGCATTGCTAGTTGACTCTCACTTATCAATAGAGACGTCAATGGAATTCCATGTTAGGGTCACTCTTGAGAAACAATCTTTAAAATCCATCGAAATTAATCACTTGATTGTGCCGGATTGATGATCAGATGCGATGAAAATCGAGACAGCAAGCAGTTTGGGTGAAAAATAAAAAGCGGAGAAAGCTTCGACATAGTCCGGGAGTTCTCTGAAAGTGATCGGACAATCCAATTGTCAGAATTACATAAATCATCCAATCTACATTGACAGAGTAATGATGTCATATTCCCGGCAGTCTGCATATTCTGCGACGCAGACTACGTCAAATTCCTCTCGTCGCCCGCTGCCACCACAACAGCATCCACCATTTCCTTCTCCTTCGTAATGAAAACACTATGACACGTCTCATAATCCTCCGTCTTAACCACCACCCCCTCACTCTTCACCTTTTCAAGCATAAGATCCTGATACGGTCTTGGCACTGAATAATCCTGCTGCGTCAAAATATACGTAACAGGAACTCTTCTCCACGCATCCCCCTTTGTCTTCGCCTCAAACGCCGACATTGGAGACCTCACAAGATCCGGCAGCGCTTTATCGACGATATGCTGTTCTACACCACCAAGAAATGAGAGAGATGGGTCGACGGGGAATGTAGATCCATCATCGAAGTTCTGGATAAATTGAGGCCAGAGATCGGCGAAGCCTGCTTCTTGACAGATGTCCCAGACCGATGTTCCGGGAACAACAATGTAGGCGCACATGTAGAAGAGATGGATGACTCCTCCGGATTTTCCTTCAGCCTTGCGGTCAGCGAATGTAAGACCTTCGACGGCGTCGGTACCGACTGCTCCGCCGTAAGAATGCATGGCCATCAAAACTCGCTCGTCAGCTTCGACGAGTGATTTCACAACATTGCGGACAGCAGCGACGTCCTCTGTAAATGAAGAGACAGGAGGATATTTGTCGTTGCATGAAGGTAGTTGTGGACAGAGGACCCTGAATCCTTGTGCTTCTAAAGCGTCGCTGTAGCTCTTGTAGTTGGCAGGGGTATGCCAGGCGCCATGCACTAAGACGACCGTGGGTAAAGAGGTTGCCATGACAATCTGGTGAGCGATAGATTTAAATATGAGAGGTTGAGAGGATGAGATGTATTTCAATCAACGAATTATTCATATGTCAGCACAGATTGTAAAGAATTAAATTTCGGAGAAAAAAAAAAAGAATTACAATAGAAACGAGGACATAATAGTCTTATACTGTGTCATTCGCGGCTAACAAGTTACGCGAGCAATGCTATGTAATGCGCTTAGAACCAACAATTGGACTCGAGATGCATAAGACCAACACAACTTACCAACAAGCAGCTCCACTACTCATCGTACGCTCACTTGATCTATTACCTTAACTAACTAGTTTTGTAAATAGATGCATGAACCAAAAAAAGAAACCCACACAAGAACACAGTCAGACGCTGCATATAATGTTCCAAATGATCTCGATTACTTACATTGGGACTATTCGAATGGTGTGGGGGAACAATATTAAAACCTCCTCTCCGTGTTGCAATCAACCAGAAGCTGTTTTTGATCATTGATACACTTCACACTGAAAACTCATCAAACACGTATAAAGCTTAAATTGGGATACCTGCTATCCTGCCTTCTTATGTTTGTGAGTGCACTTTTTCAATTTGATTATAACGACCATTCTCATCAAAATAGCAAATATACGATTCGTCTTTATCTTATCGACCGTGCCCCTTTAAATATATTCTGGACATCCGACGGTCCCATAACAATTTCCTCTAGCTCGACATCCTCACGAGATTCTTGTATCTCACTATAATTCCCATACAAACAAGCCTTTTCACTTCTTGCTCTCGCAGTTAAATCACTCATCGTCTCCGCGCCCCTAAACGTATGGCCTACCATAAGCCCTCTAGAAAGAACGGCAAGTGAGCTTGACTTCCAAGCAGGAGTTCCACGTAGCCTCGTCTGATAGATTGTAAGGACGATGAAAATAGTAGCAGCAATGATGAAGAAACAGTGCAATGATATCCATTCCCATTCAATTTCATAAAAGGTCACCGTTTCATAGACTGTGCCTACTTGTACTTTTGCGCCATCGTCGTTAGCGCGGATGGAGTTGCTCATACTTTTTGCAAGAGACGCGAATGTAGCTGGGAGATCATTGCTCGTATTGAAAGCTTGCATCGAGCTGGGCTTATACTGAAGATTGCCATCGGACATGATGTAGCCATTCAATCTTGCCTGTTGTGTCTCAGTGACATTGTGCGTGATGTTCAGGTTGGTCGAAAAAAGGTCACTGAAGTAGCTACTGACGCTATTGACAGCCGCTTGTGAGACGTTATACTTTCCACCTAGGGATAGGTCGGATCGAGGCGCCGCGGATAATTTGCCATCGAAATTAAGACTTGATACGGTTGAAGAGTTGAGAACAGCGGCCCACTTCGAGCTTGTAATCTGCCACGAATCCGGATCTCGCTTTGCACTTGTAACCTCGGAAATGTCTTCGGACAGAGTGCCGCCCGAAATCGTAGAATTATACCGATTGACACAATAGTATAGGCCGCATTCTCGTGCTTCGATTTCTAAGTTTGGCCACGTCTGATTTGATCCATCTTGAGGGGGATGTACTTTGAGAAAAGTCATCGCCCATATCAACGTATCAACATCTTGTAGTGATACCGTCTCACTACCATTTCCAGTTCCATAAGTCGTCATAAATATACCACCTGGAACTTCCAAAGATGTAGATTCGGTGGTATAGTTCCAACCATCAAAACCATCGATGAATAAGCCGTTGGGAAGTCTGAATGCAGTGCCCATTTCTCGAATTGCAATACCATCGTCGGTTTGCAAGTCTGCGAAGAGAAAATTGTAATCTCGATACTCCACTACTTTGTCGCTAAGATCGTTGCAAACATTACAAACCGAAAGGGACTCAAATGCATCCCACGTACAATTTCCAGAAGTGCATGTGTGAGGAAGTTGTTGAGCGATCATTTCACTAGGCTGCGTAAGACCGTATAGGACAGCTGATTGCATGATGAAATCCGCGTCAGCGAAGGCCTGTACTTTGGGCGGATCACCTATTCATGGGTCAGCGGTTTTGATAACTTATTGGGGTTTTAGAAGGATTGAGTTTACTTAACACCATCGTGAGTTGCGCATTGAACAATCGGCCCCTAGAATAACGATCTGCTCTCGGGACGTCGGCAATTCCATGTTTTTGAGGAACTTGACGTTGTTGATACTGGACAAGTTGTTGTGTAAAAGGATCAACAGCCAACGCAAGAACCGTCGTGACAGCACCGATGCGTACTATGAGCCTATCCGTGTGAGTATCGTCTCTGCATCGTAAATGGAAGACTAAATTTCTTACTCCCGATTTTTCCTCCATAACAGTTTGAAGCTACCTAATGGCCCCCGGCTTGCAGCATCAATCTTATCAAAATCTATCAGAAAATGCTTCTGTTCTGAGAAATGGAGCCATTTCCATTGGCTAGTGGACTCAGCAATGGAATACAGAACAAGAACTTTAGCAGCGGTTGAAAGAATTGATACCAAGGCGTTAAGTGTGATGCCATGCCAACGAAAAATAGTCTTTCCATCAAACGCATACAGAAGTGCAGCTAGAGCTATGAAGCATAGCGTTCCGCAAAAGAGGGAAGCAAGCTCTCGTTTCCAGAAGCGGAAGTTCCAGGAAAGCTCTCGCGACATCGCCTTTGCAAGACAAGAAAGAAAATTCACACAAAAGAAAACGTGGAAATTTCACTCGTTAAGTAAAATTTATACAGTGGGGCGGCGACAGCGTCTGCATCCTTATATAGATGATCGCTTTTCGCGGTCGTGAAGGATACCCAATGGTGATTAAGATGGATCATATTATCGCCATTTCTTGGCACGAAGCTGATATCTCTGCCAGTTGTATGACTTGCAGAGATCTTTGCTTGATTTGATCCAAATTTGACCGCCAGCTGCTGGGCTGTTGGCATCGTGGTTACGGAGACTTCTAGGCCCTGGTTCTTCCAGCGGCAAATGAAATGCCATCCTGTGGGAGATCCGCAATCAAGTTTGAGGATGTTGTACGTACATTAATATATGTGTTCTAGCGGTGCATTATTGTACGAAGAGCCCTGTTTGAAACCCTTGTATAAGCTTATGTAAACTTAACTAATTCACAGCTTTTAACCTTAAAATCTTAAATATAGATCAGCCTCACATAAGATGTACGTACAACGGCAATTTCTCGATCACGTTCAATAATCTAGATAATAACAATCTTGAAATTTAACTCATCATTCAAATGCACTTATCATTCCAGGCAAGTAGGGGTGGGATGTAAGTGTTCAAGTCGTAATTTACAACGGTAAAAGGAGAAGGAAGTTGAAAATGTGCAACATTTCATTCATCTATTCATTCCACGGTCCTTATAACTGCTAGTCTTTTGATATCATTTCTTCATTTCCTCTATATCATTTCATAACCTCATTTCGTCTTTCCAGTGGGAATGCCGAACATCACGGCTGGCTTTCCATCTTTGGCCTCTCTATCAACTCTGAAATACCCCTTTCTCTCCAACTGAATGATATCATCCTCTTTAAGATCGGCAACATTGCTATCGCATAGCTGATCTGTCTTATGAGCGGAATCTGGTGTGAGGAAATCTTCCCAGTTGTCATCCTCCTCCAATTTGTCCTTAGTGATCATGTAGTCAAATTCGTACACCTCTGCTGGAACAAGGGTTTGGTCAGAGGATAACCAAGTGACTTTCTTCTCGGTTTTCTTGACATCACCTTCCAAGTGCAGTTCCAGCTCAATATCTGTAATTGGACCAGAGCCATTAATTTTGCGCACGAATGCATTACCCCAATTCATGAGAGTAATTTCTTCGCCTTCTTTAAATAACTTGACATCCTCTTGATCAAGAATGAGGTTTTTGCTATATGTAACCTTCTTCATTCCGACCTTGGGATTTTTTCCATGCTTAGGCTTGTCTTCGGTGTATGGGGACTCTGGACCATTGGTGACAACTGCCTTTACTTGATCCTTGATATCGACACCTGTGTGTCTTGGTGCAATTGGATCGATTTCCTTCTTGTTTGAGGCCCAGAAATTGGTCCAATCCATGGTTACAATATTTCTACTTGGTCCCTGCTTCAAGATGAAATCTCTCAAAGCGGGAATTGTCATACCCCTTCTTCGAACTCCGCGGATTGTAGGCATACGAGGGTCATCCCAACCCCAGACTCTTCCAGCATCAACCATCTTGGCCAATTTACGTTTTGAAAGGAAGACTCGAACGAAGTTCATGCGAGCGAATTCCCACATGTGTACTGGTGTAAGATTCAACTTGGTAATAAACCATTGATATTGAGGATTTCTGTCGTTGTACTCGGTTGTTCTCAAGGCGTGTGTAACTCCTTCGAGAGAATCGACGATTGGGCATGCGAAATCATAGGTAGGATACATCTTCCAAGTAGTACCTGTGCGGTGATGGGGCAAGGGACCACCGGTCTCGGGATCGTCGTTGGGACATCGGTAGATAACAGGATCGCGCATTGCCTTATTTGGGTTGTCTACAGACATCTTTGCTCGGATACAGAACTTCTTTCCTGCTTCTGTGCCGTTTTTCATCTCTTCGAATATGGCGAGGTTGTCCTCAACACTCTTGTCTCTGTTCTTGCTTGCAATACCATCCATTCGTTGTTCCCTCATAGTCTGCTGATCTGTGTCATCTGCATAAGCGTTACCATCTTTGATGATTCTCAGACCGTACTGGTATAATTCTTCAAAGTAATCGCTAGTATGACTCTTCTTGTCTGGCTTAACGCCCATAAGTGCTAAATCCTCGATAATAGAGTCTTGGAATTCTTGTTTCTCTTTTGAAGGGTTGGTATCGTCGAATCGGAGGAGAAGTGTGCCCTTATAAAGCTCATGTGCGAAATAGTCATTGAGAAGTGCAGCCTTCGCGTGACCGATGTGAAGATATCCACTAAACAAGATTAGTCCCATAACTTTGAGGTGTAATTGATTTGTTTGGCATACGATGGCTCTGGTGGAAATCTGGTCAC